AAAACTTTCAAGTTTAACTGCGTTTGACCTAGTTTTTAAGGTTTTTTTTTCGTGTGTAATTTAAATTTAATATTTGGCGACTTAATTTGGCAAGAAATAAAATGTCTCCTTATTATTATTATTGTATAATATATCTTATATGATTATTGTGAGAAAAGAGCGATAAATCGCTTTGACATAAAAACGTTCTTGTACATTGATAATAATTTATAATGCTTCTACGATATGTTATTGTAACTTTTATTTTTACTTTTATTATTGTTAACTGCCTCGGTGGTGTAGTGGCTAGCATGTACGACTGCACACCCGGAGGTCCTGGGTTCGAGTCCCGGGTCGGGCCAAGTTTAGTTATTGAGTCTTTCTGTATAGCAAGTCTCAGTAACAGCCCGAAGTTGGGAAGTTGGCGGTGTTTCACCCCCGTGCCTCGGAGAGCACGTAAAGCCGTCGGTCCTGCGCCTTAACCCTCACCGGTCGTGTCGAGTGGTCGTCCCACCGGAGTATGAGAGTGATAGGAATAGAGAGTGCACTTGTGTCTGCGCGTAAACTTGAGCACTATAATATCTCCTGCGCAGTTGGCTAATCTCAATGAGATTGGCCGCCGTAGCCGGAATCGGCTAGGAGAACATCACATCACATCATCACATTGTAACTTAAGATGCCATAGATTTTAAAAATGGCTTTTCTAGCTCTAAATTTAAAGATTCTAATAAAGAATTATATACGTTGTTATTACTAAGAAATATAGCGAGTGAATAATATTTTCAAAAATCAATCTATTGACTGACCTTCTTTGGTTGGGAAATATTAGGTTTTCATTATAATTCTTATTCGAACATATTGTGTGACATATTTTACGATTATATATTAAATTTAACCGGCTTGAACAGACTCTTTTTCATGTTTTCGAAAATACTGAAATAAATTTAACATCATATCGAATATCTTTATATATTATATTGTTTGAGGTAGTGGAGTGTCGAGTTTTTTTAATTTTTAATTTTTATAATACCTTAAAAACGCAGGTATTCCCGCCGTCATTGCTGTGAGTTGTATTTGACACATAGCTCACAGCGTATAATACACGAAAATAATAAATCATCAGATTCTTCGAAACCAGAGTTTCTCCTCTACACCTGAGGCGTGTTCCTCAAACACGGCTAAACCGTCTAACCAACGTGGACGAAGTGTGGCACACATGTAAACTACTAACTAAGGCAGAATACTTTTTATTACGGTAAAGCGTCGTTGCAAAATACTTTAACTTTAATGCTTTTAATTTCTAGATATATGTAAGGTATTGAATAGAAATAAATAACGTACTTGCAGTTTAGTTCAGTTCAGTTCAGCACTTGCAGTAATTAACTAGTGCGTAATCGTTTAGATACGTCCATAAAGAGCATGTACGACATCATATGACAATATGTCAAATTTTCTTCGGCAACGCTCTAATGACCCTTTCCGAACATAATCTATTGAGGGAGTCGGCCAGACAGTCAACTGTCAACGCTCACAAAAAGATATTAAATTACTTAGTGATATATCAAGGGAATAGACTTATTTATGTAGCTTTTATTTTTGAATTCTTATATTTTTGAAGGTTCAATAAATGAAAATAGCAAATCAATTTCTATTCACAAAAAATATTTAGGTCTGATTTCTATAGAACTTGTAATTTATTAGCGTTTAGTTTAATTTATTTCTCAATAGAGTTCATGCTAGTCCCATAAAATTGCTACGTAATATTGAATATACATATTTGTAGTAGAATAATTTTTTTTCTCCGATTTTGTTCCTATGGAACAAATCAGCCTCTTTGTCTTTTGACATATATGAGATAATACTTAGAAAACTAACCTTATATATCAAATAAACTTTAATATATTTTATTTGAATTAATATATTATTTGTTTTTAAATAAACTACGTCGGAAAAGCTTTAAAAGATACAGGAAACATTATACAGAGGTCAATTTATTTAGGATTTTACTTTGAAGCAACCATTGGAGTAATGTGTTTTCTTGAATCCGTACTAAACGCTCTACACTGCTTTCATAGAAATTGATAGAAACGAGGTTTCTCTATAAAGGTACTTTACTTTGACGTTAACTCATTCATGTTACTAAATTCAAAAGGACTAATCCTTTAAAAAACTAGATTATAGTGCTTTGGGAAATTATTTATTATTATTGGGTCATTACTGTAACGTACATAATAAACTAATTATGTTTTTTTAATTATATAATTAATTGTATTAGGTATCTTTACCTTTAAATATTACGATTTTAAATGTATAGTAAACTAGCGACGCACCCTCGCTTCACTCAGGTACGACTCGGGACTAGAACCCAAGACTTTTTGATCTACAAGCGTACATGCTATGTGATACACGAATAAATAAAACAACTAATTTGTTACGTATTTGTTTGTTACCTTTGACTCCTTACCAACTAAACTTTAACGCCAGTCGAACGTTTAGCCGAATTAAATTATAAATTATAATAAGCAAAAAGGTTTTTTTCTCAAGTTATCGTTACCATCTTAGAATTCTATTGTTCTATATAAAATTGTTTAGTACAATTTTAAATACATGATATGAATATATTAAAACGGTAAAGCAAATCGTTCTAGAATATGAACAGAATAATATGAATATGTTATAACTTGTATTTGTATGTGGTTAAATGGCATAACAAAATAATGACTTGGTGGAGATCCAAACTTTTCCTGGTTCTCAGTCCAACGGATCGTCGCCAATGTCTGGCAAAAAGCCAATAAATTCGCTACATTGTTACGTAGTGATACACGTCAGGTTTAAGCTCCTACGAGTAATTTATAGGTAGACTAATAAAATGTGGTATTACTGACTAAAATTGGAATCATTATTCAGCTTTTTAAATTATATTGAAATCTTGCTATAATTATTAATTATGATTCTTTAGTAACGGGCGCGGGCTACTGCTGTTATTTAGATTTTTGTAGGAGACCAATATAACATATATACAGACAATCGTTAATACACAGTGATATAAATCATCTTGCAATGAGTCAATAGGTTTAGTGTATAAACTTTGAAATCTGTGTTTTATAAGTCTACAGTTTGAAGTTTATAATTTATAAAAAATAAATAGTTAAAAATAGACTTGTTATTATAATAAGAAGATAATGGACTACTAAATTTATTATAGATACTGAGATACACTTAATTATGCACTCGTTTAGTATAATATATCTATATGGGTTCATGTCACGACAACATTAATATCCTTCTAACGAATATCGTGTGCCATTTTCCTATTATTATTAATTAAGGTCCCTAATTGCGATGTCAATCAACCTCCGTCCTCCATTATGTAAGCTCCTTAAGGAAGTTATTAGCTAACACTAGGGAAATGAGTATTAAACTAAGTACTCCGTATTTATATATTTTACTAGTGCTTCTCAGCCTTGGTTTACTCAAAACTTTTTAATCTCAAATGATATGGTAATTAAAATGCTCGGATATAAATAGTATCTATCCAAAATTAAATCATATTCAATGTATATTTGAATCACAGGGATATATTTTACTTTACCAATATATTTATACCTATATACTATATTAACGTATTCATTCAAACTGGATTTAAAAATATAAGTGCTTTTGTAATCGGCTGTTGCTATTCGTCCGATTTTTGTCGGTTTGTACGAATATTTACCACTTTTTCTATTTTCTAATGTAAAATAAGTGATTTTTAGATGCAGGAGTTTCTATATGCAAAACAAAAAAAATTGCCTACTGAGCTGGAAACTTATTCTTTTAAATCCCAAACGATTTTTCAGTTCAAGAGTTTTTAAGGTTAAAAGATTATTTTTAGGTGCAGGAATTTCTGTATGCAAAAAAAACCTTAACCTACCAAACAGCCGAGCTACGTATTCATCTTACTTATTAGTCTATATTCGTCCTTCCTTATCTATACATATATTAAAATTCCAACTAAGCCGAAACTGTAAATTTTTTGGAAAATCTTATTGAAATAGACATTATTATCGATACAGAGGCCGAATCTATATTTTTTAGAATTTTTGTCTGTCTGTCTGTCTGTCTGTCTGTCTGTCTGTTACCGCATCACGAGAAAACCACTAGACAGATTTTGATGAAATTTTGTATAATGATAGCTGGTTATCCGGATCAACATATAGGATACTTTTTACCACGGGAAAATATTTCATTTCTAAGAAAAAATACAGAAACTCCATTGTAAGAGTATACTAATATTTAAAACCTAAGAATGTAGTTTTTGGTCATCTGAACGCGGACGGAGCCGCGGGCAATGCTAGTAATTTATATATTTAAAAAAAGACGAATAACTATTTTTATTCGTCCTATTAAAGACACGAATAGACACTCCGTTTGAAATTACTTCCCTAAATTGCCTTTTATTAATGTTATTACTACTAAATTTGATTCGTGTAGATTGTTTTAAATAACTAATTCGTCTTTGTCGAAAAATGTATTTTATTTACATTATAAATGCGAAAGCATTTTTCGTTTGTTGCCTTTTTTCAAACAACAATGGAGAGTCAATTCGTAGTATTTTTTTACATATAGACGTTTATGATACGATCTAATTTTTATCTTATTATATCTTAGTAAGGCTTCATTTCCGTAGTACAAAATAACACTTACAAAAAGTATTAAAGGATCTGAAATTATGTTATGTAGACCTAAAAGAATCAAGGACGGTGTTAATGTAATATTAATGTAAAAAAACAAGTGGGTATGTCCAAGATCAATGTAATAATCACAAATCCTCTAAGAACCCAATAACTTATTTATTCGTGGTTTTTCGCATTAACGAAAGACATAGGCTTCATACAAAATATGTATGTATGTCAAATTGCTATGTCTAGTAAGTAAAACCATTGATAGATAGATTATATGTATATACTTAGGGGAGATGGGATTCACTGTAAGTTAATATAATTTATAATAAAATATTATAAGAAAATAAATTGTTTTAGTTGACACAACGGCACAATATGACGCAGTGCGCGCTTATCTGAAGGAGTTGGACATCTCTAGCGCAGTGTGGGTTGGCCTGATACGAAGCAATCCTGATGGCGACTTCACTTGGACGTGCGTAATCTATAAACAAGTCCTATTATTTTTATTACATTTTATCATTTTATTGTATATCATAAATATATAATATAATGAAAGCGAAAGGAAACTTCACTCACTGACTAAATACGAAATCTCGAACTCTATTGGATCTAAGGAAGCTCAAATTTGGCGGGTGCAAACAGATGTGGGATGGGGCTGAATTAGGCGTGTCAATATTTTTACTGCTAACGACATTAAGATTTCGTAACGCTAGTAGGAAATTAAGTTCTTGTTTGTATACTGTATATTTTCCATGCTTTATATCGTCGAAATAACCTTTTGCTTATTTATTCTTAATAATTAAGTTAAGTAATATATTTATGTTGTCATCAGGGATTATCGCGGCTTAAGTGGCGATGGCTACTGGAGCTCTGCACCGGATACTCGCTCCGCCCCTCTGTGTGCTGCCGCCGACCCTACTGCAGACTATCGTTGGGAGGCCCGAGCCTGTGGTGGACCCTCTGTCGCCTCCTTCATTTGTGAACTACCTGGTAAAATTATTTTTATATTGTTATGTCAATAAATTATAGTTTATAAATATATTAATAAAAGATGATCATCACGAATACATTTGTGATTGTTACTAGCTTTCCACCTTTGCCTAGAGAGAACATAATATCAAAATAAACACTATTTACTATCACAATATTGACATGAAGAAAAGAAGTTAATAAATATTTGTCATAATGTTACACTTTGTAGTGAAAATATCGTGAAGCCTGAAAATATAGCAGAGAATATACAAAATATTAGATACAAATACATTGTCATTCATGACTTCAAATAAATATACATACATACATATCAGTACGTGTATAAGTTCTATGATTGATATATGACAATCTATTAATGATTGTTCCTTTCTACAGTACCTCAATGGGCACTGGGCAACGAAGGTTGTATGCTCCGTGCATTGCCAGCTCTAACTGTTTTATACTTACCTGAGAGCGCGGCTGTACAGCTTACTGTGGATTGCGGTCTAGATGGAGTGAAACGTGTTCAATGCACCGGAAATATGGTAATATTTAGATGCATTTCTCAAATAAAATGGTGCTTGTTTGGATTTATGTTTCATAATAAGTTTTTATTTTCAGAAACGGGAAGACCTTCTTAAAGATCTTTCTTGTACTGTGGAGGATCAGGTATCAACTACATTTGCTACATCTTCAGCTACATTTTGGGCTACTACAACAGATACTTCAATTTCCGATCAAGAAATTAATAATGAATTGAGCACTGAAGAAAATGGTACAACACAGCATGAGGACGATATTAATCAATCTATTTCTACAAAGCTATTATCTTCTACTAATTATGTTCATAGTACAACAGAAAAAATATCAGAAGAAAGCTTTTCAAACATAAATCAACTATACAAATTTCCAATAGCAAAAAATATTAACATTGATGTTATAAGTCATAATAATCTTCAAAGCAATGATATATCTAGTTCAGTTAGTAACGATGATCTTTTTACAAATGAACAAACAGATAAGCTAGAAGATGAGAAACATATGCAGCATAAAAAATTGCACGAGGAACTTGCTCGTCTTGGTAACTTTGAAACAATATTTAATCAGCCTACAGATCATTTTGTGCCACCTCTTGTTATGGCCAAGGCTAAAATTAGTGATGACATGACTGCTTTATCGATTGAAGAAAAATTAGCTCAACAGCTCGCTGAGCGACAATTTATGCAACATGAAAATATAGGAAGTGATTCTTCAGATATTAAAAGTGAACCAAGAGAACACTCATCACTAGAAAAAATAGATGAAAACGTTATAACGGATAAACCAATTAATACAATATCCACAACTATGGCTAGTGAATCAAAATATAGAGGACCCAAAGAATATAATTATGATGACATTAAGCCGAAAATGTTGAAAAAATTGAATATTAAATCATATTCCTCAGTCAAAACTGGTTACTTTGAAACATCTACACCCACAGTAACTACAGATCGTTTGCATACAACAACCACTGTAAAACCAATAACACAAAGGCCTTTTAAATATGAAAATCAGAAACCAAATAAAGATTCATCTCTTGAACTTACTGTTATAATAAAAGATCCAGAACATATTGAAGTAAACGAAACTAGTATATCTCATGTCAATGTAACCGAAACACTCAAACAATCAATAAAGCCAAAAAAGAAGATAACTCCTATGATCACGGACAAAGCTATTATATTAAATGATGAAGTAATTAGAATACAAATATTAAAAGAGAAAGGCTTAAACCATTCGAATATTGATATAACAGTGTATGAAGTTACTACAAAAGTACCAAGTATCAATGAAGAAAAAAATAAAGAAAGACGTCAGAATTCTGATAGTACCTTAACATCTAGCGTTTTACCAACAGTGACACATTCATATGATAATGCAACTTCTTCTCCCTCAACAGATTCAATAAATGCTTCAAGAGACATTGATAATGTAAACAAAACTGACGACGTTCTATCCACTGAAGAATCCTTAATAACAATAATCACTGATCTAAATCTTGATACGAATACTAATGTTTCTATGTTTGATTACTTGGGAAAAAACCTTTTTGATGATGTCCTACTCTCTAATATCTCATTAAAGGAAAAAGCAGATACATTTAATGAAACTGATTTTATCGATCAGGTTGATAAAAATAATACGGACGAAACAACTAAAATTGATGATTTGAATTCACCCTTACTATCGGCGGCCAGTGAACCATTACACAAACCTATAAGATCCAGGCGACCACAACAGAATCGAGTTAATAAATTTAATCCGTTTCGTATATTAGGTTAGAAAAATCATTTAATTCCTGTACTTTGACTGCCATGCAAGGAAATCTATTAATTAGAAACATAAATGACTGAACTAAACGAAACATCTATCTAGCGAGTATAATTCACAGTCACAAATATTGTGATGGCACAGTGCACTTAGCAGATTTTCATACTGTATTATGAGCATACATATATCAATTACCAACGTTTTCATAGTAATTAGATAATAATTCATTACAAATAATATTTTACATATATTCGCACTGCATGCTCCCACAAAGTTCATACATTTAAATTCATTATTATCATTGATCGTTTTAAATAAACACCTACATAAGGAAATAAACTAGTCAATTCTTATATTTGGAATATTTATAGCAAAGCTATAGGTATTACAATATATTTATATTATTATATGTACCCTAAAATTCTTTAAATAGAAGTTGATAGATCAAAAATGGTGTTTTTATTTAAAGAATACAAGTAATGTAACATTAAATTTATGGTGGATTATTCCATCATGTCTTTCATCAAAGTTTTTTTATTATTTTTTTTCGTTAATTTCTAAACATGTTACAATAGAAGTTTGAAAATATTTTGCTATGTTGTCAGGTTATAACTTAAATGCGGTAGGTTTCATTTATTTTTTATACATTTTTTTTATATATACAATAAATGCATACATTTTTCAAACTTTAAAATCCATTTCATCACCATGAGTAGAGTAATTTAGTTCTGTTTAATATTGATAGGAATTAGCGTAACTCATAAACCATATCATTTTAGAATAAGTCTTACAAGTTTTATATATTTAATATAAGAAAGCAAATAAAATAAATTGCACTACAAAGTAAAATAAGTTAAACAGAATCAGAAGTGAAATAAAATTTAATTCGAATTTTCAATTTGGTCAAAAATTAGGACTTGAGATCAACACGTGTGATTGTTTAACGATATTGTGTTGAACAAATATTCATATTTATGTAGTAGCTTAAAGTAAGGATTTATAAATAAAGATTTAGACAAATATATTGTTTTTTTCTTTAGTGCTTCACTTAAAATAAGAAACATTCTAATTCAAATAAAACGAAATAAAAAGAAATAAATCTAAATATAGCGAAATATAACGAAATAAAACGTAATATAAAGAAATAAAACGAAATAAAAGAAATAAAACGATATTACATACGACGAACGAATTGAATTGAATCGAATCGAATCAAATTGGATTGAATGGGATGGAATGGGATTGAATGGGTTGAATAGAATTGAATGGAATAGAATGAAATAGAATGAAATAAAATAAAAAAAAAAAATAAAACCTGTAGATAAATTAAGAATAAGTTTTCGCTAAATAATTAATGTCGATAATCCTTAACATTTCTTAAAAAAATCCGGACAAGTGCGAGTGCGACTCGCCCACTTAGGGTTTTGTAGTTTGTAGAAAATTTGTTTTACCTTAATTTTCAACTTTATTTATTTTTTGGAATTATTCCTTTATTTGTGCTGTAAGACCTTGCTTTTTGCCAAATTTTGTAATTCTAGTTCAACGGAAATTACCATATAGATATTCGACCCAAAACCTATAGGGTACTTCCGGTTGACCTAGAATTGTCAAATTTGGTTAATAGCAAGGTCTTTTATCACAAGTAAAGGAAAAATTCCGAAAAATAAAAAAAAGTTGTAAATTGAGGTAAATTTTGGTACTAACAAGTTTTCACGAAAATCTAGATTTACCCATATCTTTTTAGCATGTTGACTCAGGACCTTGAGGTGCTAGGTCCACCCGTTCCTGAGAAAAACGAACTTAAAATTACTACCTCATAACGCATAGATATCCAGTAGCCCCCTTTTTGCCCCTTTTTGGAGGAAGTACCCCTCCAATCAAAAATCCCTGACGACAAAAAAAATCTATAAGGTCGTAAAACCTGTAAACCAAGTTTCTTCTATATCGTTTGTAAAATACGATCCGTAGAGGAGTACCAACAAACTGACAGAGGAAAGCAAATTTGCCCAGACTTGCAGCAGAGACACTTCACCCGCTCGGTGAATAACGTTTTTTTATAATTAAATAAGAATAAAAAACTAAACGAATAAATGCTTTGCATAAATGTGGTTTCGAACAAGTATCAGTAAGTTTTGAAACATTCGGAACAACTAATATTTGCAGAACACTTCAACGCCAGTCTCTCAACTTCACGGTAAAGTCGTAACTTCAATTCAATTTTCTTTTAGAAAAAGAATACTTAAATCTTTCTTACACTTGAATATAAAACCAACATGAAGCAAATGTTGATTGAAATACCATTGAATTATGGTATTCTTAAAATTAGAATAACTACTGCCTATATAGTTTTCTCTTTTAGTATACCTACATTTATATTTCCAAGAACATAGAAGTATTATTTATCTAGAACGCTTTCCTGTATTTTCTTTCGGTTCAGAATAAAAATTAAAGCAAAGAAGAAATATTTCTAACTATTTTTTTTTGTTTAGTTATTGACGAGCTTTAGTTTTATCAATAAAAAAGTTTTCTATAGTGACTAAGGTCTAATTTCGACCACTAGGCGACATGCGTACACTATATTATGTATGTAAATGTAAAAAAAAATTAAATACAATGAGCATGAACTTGAAGCTCAAACTTTAGACTATTTGGCTAAAGTATCGGTGTTTCTATAAATAAGTAAGCGAATATATTTTTAATTGACCTACAAACCTCACACTGAGAAAGTAGCTTAGCTCGGTAACTATTCCATTTACTATTTCGATGTTCAATTTCAAAACCCTTTTATCCTTTATTAGAAATAAAGGATAAAAGGGAGCATTAATCAGCATTAATTGAAAAATATGTCTCTATGTTTAATATTAATACTAATTTAAAAAAAAGATTATTTTCCATATTAACTTTGCTATCGAAAAGAATTTACCAAAATAAATACTGATAACACTACAAAATATCTAATATGCTCGTCAATAAAAGAAATTAAAAAATCGGTTGACTAACTGAGGAGGAAAAAGGTACTGTGTGTATGTTAGAATTGTATTAATTTGTATTAGCTACATAGAATTTAATCAAAGTAAAACAAAGTTCCATTAAATTGTTATAAAAGGTTACATTAAATCTGTCATCTGATAATTACGATGTTGATGGGCAGTCCCTCCTTCCCGCTGTCGTAAAAAGTAACAGTAAAAAGTGAAATGGATTTACTCGCTCATTGTGAGTGGGGTGACCATTATTTAGGTATGAAAGTTTATTTAATGAATATTAATTTAGAATATTCTACTTAAATGTCTTTCTGCTATCATAAAAAAAGCATAAAACAATAATGTTACTCCTTATGGCTCTATATGTTTGAATCACATAGTATGAACGTGAGTGAGTCTATGAGTAGAGCTCAACAAAATAAAATGAAATTTAAAATGGAAAATAGCTTGTATCATTTTATTTTTATTTTTTTACTTTGGGAAATGCATTTAAGCATACCATTTGCATAAATAAAAGTGGTTAGAAAAACCAGTATAGTACTAACGACTAAAACCCATCGGAACCTACCCCACTTTTATGGGACACTGCAAGATCGCTTACAAACTCAACTACAATGTTCCGACGGCAAGCCTGCTAAAGCAGACCACAACAAACAAGGGATTGCCCCCACGGTCCACTCAGCGACCAGAGAAGTACCAGTAGCAACCCGTATGGTACACCGTCCAACGAGTTGGACCGCCTCCCAGTGTATGTGGTCCATAGTTCGAATGGACTTGTACGTGCAATTTTTGCATTCGTTTATTTTCTTCCAAAAACAACTTAAATTGTGTGTTAACATAATAAATCAATAGGTAGGTTATTATTATGTAGGTAGGACTGTCATCGTTATCAACATTATCTAGGGATTTACATGAGACACGTATTCCGAATTCCAACTATAGCTATAGTACATTATGGTACTATAGCTATAGAGATTATAATCTCCGAGTACATATATGTATATATCGTAGGGAAATTGTAAGATCCACTACAGTTTTGTAAATAGCCTCCTTTTCTTAATATCACGGGACAATTTCACTAGTGAAATTATAATTTCACAGCTTCTACAATTTCTCTGCGATATATATACAGAACAGGCAGACGAACATGACGAAATTATAAAAGTTCTGATTTTGTCTATTGACTATGAAACACTAAAAGCCTGATATTTGATGCTGTAATAATGATATTATAATTTTATCACTATCTACTTTGCAGTTCCTGTCACCGTGCTATTTGTATGATAAACAGAAATTTACGATAAAATGCAACGATGCTTCTCATTTACCTCTCTTGTGGTTACCTTATTCATGGGTAAATAAACGTTTTTTTCTTGACTTCATAAATTTGATGAAGCATCTGCCGACTGTGGACGCCTGTCCTCTTTACCCACTTTTATTTTAAGTATTATAAAATGATTATCACATAAAACTTGTAAAAAATTTTAATATCCTAAATAATGGTTGAAGATTATTATTTAATGCAAAGAAATTCTTTTCAATTCCTTTGATATATTGTTTTTTTTCTTTCCCTCCATTTTTGGCACGTAAATACTGGAATAAAAATGAATATTACAGTATTTTTATTGCGAATAACATCATCGTCTGTTTCACACAATAGCACGTAGACAAATATTTATTAAATGAATATAATGCCTTATTTCTTTGTATTGTTTGTTGTAATATTTGTTTATCTTTTTGAGTGCAAAGAAGAATTTACAATTATTCTTCCTCTGCCAGAATTTAACTCGTGACAATCTCTATACTTCGACAGTGAAGGACTGAAAATGAAATTTTGGAATTTTAATGTTTTTTTAAGGAAAACATATAATAAAGAGGGTTAGTATTATATATCCATTAATCTAACTATGTACACATCATATTGAATACTTAGTATGAATACTTTTTGTAGTATACATACTTAACATCATTTTACCGCCCTATGCGTGGCAAACTTCCTGTAAATATTTAATGATACACAGGTGGCAT